TGTGTAATGTAATGAAATGTACTTGGACATACAGTCTTAATTAGTATTGCTTTGGAGACGTGTTCCCTACTTGTATATTTTATCTGTGCTTACGTATGTATGAAAGACTGTATAATAAATATTCTTCTACAATTTTTAACTTAGACTGTTTCCATAAGTACGAAGGCCTGCACTTTTTCCAAAATATGTACACTATGAAATTAATATTACGATTAAACACTTGAAGTATTACACTAGTAAAATTTTCTTGTGATATATTACTTCTCTGTATAATTAGCTTTCAAATCTCTTAGTGTACCCGCAGTAGGCGAGAGAAATATTGAACTACATGTTACACAATAATAAACTCTAAACTATTGTATATATTAACATTTCATTACAATAAACTGAAAGAAAAGTTTGTCCAACGTGTAGCAAATTATTTACTTTACTTGCCGTTGATACTGACTCTATATTATTTTTTATCTGTAAACCACTAAAAAAATGTTGACAGTACTTGTTGAAACAACTGCGCTAATGTTTCATCCAATATCATATTTAATTGTATCGGAGCACGATTATAATTAAGCAAAAATATGTAAGTGTAGCACAACAAATTATAATTACAAACTGCACGATATTAGTCCAATTTTATATAAATTTGTAAACATATTAATTAGTAATTAGTAATATGTATATAAAAATTATATTTTTAATGAATTACTTTGAAATAATTATATATTTACGGTAATTGAAAAATGAACGCGTCTCTCCATGACATTCGTTATATTTTTACATTTGAATATTTAAATTTCCCGCAAATTTTATCGAACAAACTCGCGTCTTTTCGAGAGTTTTGCACAACGTGACCGAGCCGGGTAAAATTGCACGTATGCACCATCCCTTCCCATCGCACTTGATCTCGATGTCTCGAGACGCACATCATTCTTTACGGTATTGATGATTTCCATTTTAGGAAATCTTGGTATTAAGTAGTATGCTTTACAAGCAACCAAAATCATCATTTTCTCTTCTAAAAGGTGGTCTGAAAGCAGCTATTTTATTTGAAGTCTTATTGGCAGGTGTATCATACTCAGCTTGGCGCTGCATGAATAGGTCTCAAGGTAAGTCGCACATCATCTTTCACGATTTCTTTATGTTTTTAGGTTATCTCTACCCATAGCTCCTATTACTGTATCAATTTATACTAAAACAATACTACATAATCGTACGTATTAATCTGTATACAGTCTAGTGGCAAACATAAAATACGATGAACAAATCTAATTGCAATTTTTTGCAGTTTATTGAAATTTTATTTAAACTCATAAAATGATGTCATTCACGTTAACTTGGATTTTTCTAAATGTTTCCTTTGTTAGCCAATTTTTATGCTCATACAGATCTTCATTAGATTGCAGGTATTATATGTACCAGCATTTTCCATTCATACTAGAGATATATTATACAACTATTGAAAAATTATCTGGGGATACCCTATTAAGATTACATGATAGTCAAACGTGGAAAACATCAACGAAATGAACACTAGATCTACATGGAGTTCATGAAATGTTCAGATTTTCTAATAAGAAGTGATGGTTCAAATGGTTCTTACCTAGAAATTCGTTGTTCTAATGAAAAATATTTACAACAGGTATGTACATACCTTGACATTGCTTATAGAGAATATCAGTAAAATAATAGGTTTCTCAAAACTTACAATATTTATATTATTCACAGTTTTACATTATCATAATATATATTTTTATATTTTTTAGCCTTGGCACAAGAAATCTGTAAATATAAAAGATCAAATCGACAATGCATTAACATACAAATTTGAAAGTAAACCTATGTTGGTGGAAAATAACCAGTGTTTTAAACTTACAAGTATTACAAAAGATATAATCTGCACTATAAAATAGCATTTAAACAACATTATGGATCCTTCTGGTTTGATAGAAGGAAGTTTACCGGATCGTATTACCAAAAGGGATCGTGAAAGAAAGAATATTATAGAAAGGCGGAGAGAAGAACGGCAATCGTTAGCTGTGGAGTCAGAACAAAGTAGTTATTTCAAAGACACTTTTTATTCGTCGTGTAAAAAGATTAAAGAATTGTTAGATGATGCACCTAGTGCTTCTACTTCAGCTCTACCTGGAATATTCGACAAAGTGAACAAAGAAATTCAAACATTAAAAAACTATTTATCACAATCAAAAATGTTTTTAAAAGTTTATGATATTAGAAGAGCACAAGAGAATTTACAGTTACTAGAAAGTGGAGCCTCTGATTTGGAACTAAAGTTACTACCTAAGAAGAAATTTGGGTTTAAGAATAGACGAGTTGTGAAGAAAACTTCTGATAAGTCACATGATGTAACCGACGGTTTAAAAGACTTAAAGGTCTCTGAAGGAATTGTAAATGGTTCCTCAAAACAAAATCACAAATTGTCAAGCAAGTATGGCGATAGTGCATGTATGATATTGGGAAAAATTGATGAACACATAGTTCTCGATGCCGAAAATGTGAATAAAAACGATATCCACCTTTCCGATCTAGTTCGTTGTACAGTACGAATTTATGGCACACCTAGTACTTTGCATATGATAAATTTGAAGCAATGTACTGTATTAGTTGGACCAGTACCGTCATCTGTATTCGCCCACGATTGTAATGAATGTTTATTCGCTTTTGCGTGTCAACAACTTCGATTACATTCTTCGACAGATTGTACTATTTATTTGCATGTCACAAGTAGATCGATCATAGAAGATTGTACAAATATACGTGTAGCACCTTATAATTGGTCCTACGAAGATCAGATGAATCATTTCAATCTAGCAGGTCTTGATCCAAAAATGAATAACTGGAATTGCATCGATGATTTTAATTGGTTATCGGATGAGAAACATTCACCGAATTGGAGTGTTCTTGAACCAGAATTACGTGTAAAAAATTGGGATTAAATAGACTTAAAAAGACAAAATACTCCTAAAGTGGGAAATATGAAATTCCGTTTTTGAAAACATCATTTTTTTAAAGTTAGGTACTATGTTTATTATGTAAATTATTTATGTGCATACTTCGCTTTTTCACAGAAATTACACTGTAAGTGTTTTATATACTTACGAAATATTTAATAAAATCGCTGTTTACGAGTCGTGTACATGCGATATATTTTTGCAAATTCATGCACGCCCTACAAAAATCAAATAATAACGCCACAGAATATGTTTTTCTTGATCAAAATGTAAATCACAACCCAAATTAATAAATTTTTAAGTATAAGTTTTTACAAAGGTATTGCAACGAAAATTATTTTTGATATTTTATCTCCCCGACGAAGCATTACGTGTTTTTCCTTTCTTTTACTAAAAGTTTTAAAACTTTATTGAACAATTAGTAATTGTGCTTACTTTTTCATTACTTATTACGTATTACAGTAATCTTTCAATTCAAAAAACATATCCGAGACCAATGAGGTTCTTGAATTGAGAGAACACAGGGAATTGCTGTATTCTGATTGGTTGACGATTCACAGCTAAACAGTTCTGTTCTCATAGTCAATGATAAAGACAGGTAATAGCGAGTGAGCAAAACAGCACGACATCAGCTCAGCCTCATACGAAACGAGTCCCACCGACAGACTATTTAATTACTATATCTACTGCTCTTTTTGTTAGATTATTTGTTCATAATATTAATACTTATCTGTAGTGGTACTTTTTTCGTAAATAGCGTCATAACGTTATAAGTTTTTCATACCAGATGTCATATAGATCTCCGATTCAGTAGAAATAGATACTCTCTGCGTACTAAAGGGTCTCTAAGAAACAGACCTCACTTGACCGCCTGGCTAGTTCGTGAACCATGGTTCATCAGTTGACGTTGCCGCACCTAACCGTAGCGCGTGGCGTGTGCTCTCTCGCATGTTTTTCGGTACTAAATACAATTAATTTATTATATAAACATATTTTTTTTATGTAATTATAGTGTTGACAACTAATTTTCCGTTAGTCATCAAATAGAAGAGATACAAAATGTATAAGGTTATGTTCACTACAAATGTCATCAGTGTTCCCAAATTGTTAAAAATAAACCATGGAATTACTACGCATTTAAATAATTTTCTTCAGACACGTATGTATTTCAAGTATAAAGTATGGTGTTAGTTCGATATATACACTTTGTTATTTATTTTGCAGAAGTTCATGTGTTATTTACAAAAAAAGATGAAACAGAAAGTCCAAGAATGCAGGAATTTAGAAAAAAGCTACGAGAACGTACACCTATCAGTAAGCAATGTTTTATAAATAAATCAAATGTCAGAATTATGTAAAATAGTTATTAACAATGCAACAAAACTTCATTTAAAACAGAGAAACTAGAAGAACTAGAAGAAGGTACGCATCCTTATCAAGAAAAAGAACCGTTAAAACCATTTCCAAATAATACCAATCCTGAAACAGGAGAAGTAGGTGGGCCACGAGGACCTGAACCAACACGTTATGGTGATTGGGAAAGAAAAGGACGAGTATCAGATTTTTAAAAATCTATGATCACATGTGTAACAAATGTGTGATGAAATAATGTAATATATAACGTATATGTATATATAGAAATATCTAAATAGTACATTGTTCAATATTTTCATAATTAAAGAAAGTTCTTTATGCTATAACATATTTAAAAAAGTGAATAATTGAATCGTATAAGTTTGTGTAAGAAATCGTCTGTTTTAAGCAGTAGATATTTTTATCAGTAGTCTTTTCCATTTAATTTAAATTATAGTAATATTTTTCACTTACAGATACATACAGTTTGGTACATAAAATTAATATTAAAACAGTATTTAAAATTAGATTATTTACTAAAGACAAAATTTCACAAACTTGTTTCTATTGTGTTTTGTTAAAAGTGAATGAAAGTATTGATATTGTTTAATCATTCAATTCTTTCTTCATTATATTAATGAAATACACAGCTCAAAGGATATTTAGTTTAAGATTGTTTGTGTCTTTTGCCAGAATGAATATTGGCAATTTTA